GGATAATTACCCACACCTCACACCTACCCAATTCTTTTCCTTCTGGGGAACGCTCAAGACACTGATTTATAACCGCGTTCTGCTCAAGACCTGTCACCTCTGAAACAGCAATGATTTGGTATCAGGTAAATGCTAAAGCATTGTGAAAGTTGACATCTGGTCCGTTTTCTTTCTTGTAAGCTATAAAATAAAATAATCAAACCCCTCAAAGCCCAGGAAATGCCTCAAAAGGGAATGAGGCAGGGTTGCACCATCTTTGCCATACTCTCAGGCAGCGCAACTTAGGGCACCTTATTCCCCAGGGGAATTAAGGGAAGCCTTTACTATTGTGTTTTGTTAGCCATTAAGAAACCTTACTGAGAAAAGTCACTTAGCCAATTTAAATGTCTTGCTCTGCTTCGATCAATCACCAGATTTCATTAGCTTAAGGAGTTTCAATATACCGCACTGCTATCCAGCAACAGGATCTTTTCCAAAAGGACGCCACCAAAGACAGTAGGAAAAAACCACAATAAGCAACACAAGTCAATCTTTATTGAAAACTGAAGTATTAATACATAACAATTCTTGTTACAATAAACGTGCTTTTAAGAATTTAAATCTGAGCTCATCTACTCATTGAATTGCATAAAAAATAAAAAAGTATGAATTTTCACAATTGAACTGGCTCAGAATGGAATCTCCACTCTTTGTGTTGATGCGATAGTTCAATGCAGGAGTGAGTGATACCTTAAAACTTATTCTGGAAGACAACATTGACCTAAACTTAAAAAAAGTACCAATACAACTGTTCGTAAGACAGTTTTAAAAAAAGTCATAAAAAGGAAACCTGTGTCTATTTCATAACAAACATGGAGAACTATTACTGGGGCCTCTTGTACTTCCATTGCATGCACTCACTTTTTCAAATCTTAGACATGAGGGCAGCCAATAATAGCATTACAATAAAAAAAACCACTAACAAATCCATTCTACTTAAAACAAGTCTGTACAGCAGCCAGCTAAAAAAGCTTTCCCAGTTTGCCTGCTAAGTGCCCAAAAGTCACAACAGTTTAGAAAAGTCATGTTCGCTTTCTTGATGTTGAAACTTCAGAGCCCATAAACTGTTTAGAATATTTTTTTAAATCACAAATGGACCCTTACTACCTGTGGAATTCGGATGTTTCAGTGTTATATTCAACCCACACAAGAAAAGGCTTCCTTGTCCCCGGATAAGCACTGTTCCTCTTCCCTCTCTTCTGTCTACAAAGCGCACCTTATTGTCTCTTGACCCCCCCCCCCCCCCCGCCGCCGCGCGGAGCGCCCCCACACAGCGCCGCAAAGAGGTGTACACAGCCTGCTGAAAGAGTCCTCACTGCTTTAGAGATCCCAGAATGAACTTGATTCTTGGCGAGGCTTGATGCACAAAACTACCCTAACTTTGCTGCAGTTGTTCCTGTTAATTGGCATTCTACCTCGTCAAACCTGAGGGTCTCTGCAGGAAGCTTAGAGTTGATAAAATACAGGATTAGAGAGCTGACACTTATTAATGAGAAAAATCTGAATGAGGTTAAATCTTTATGTCTTTTGAACAGGTGTTCACAAACACTTCAACACGAGGATTAATGGATTGCTTTTGGCCCTCTGCGCATGCTGAGCTCGGCCAGTGACACCTGCTGGGGAAGGCTGGACACGGATCACGCCTATTGCCTACCAACTACTGCACAAACCACATCCTGGGCAACTGCAAATTACCCTTCAACAACCACAGCATCTGTCCTCTTTCCCACAAGTTCCAGCTGAAGCATCGCTATTGTTCATATTCCTAAGATGGGAGGTTTCACATACACGGTATTTACTACTCTCTGGTATGAGTTTAAGCCTAGAGTTAAATGGTGGTATCGGATCGCTCTGCTTACCTATTCAAGCAAAAGTATGTTCTAAACCCAAATGAATGGTGTATTAACACTGTGCTTAAGCACTGGGGAGTGATTCCAAGTCAATTCGGACCATCTTTTGCTCAGATACCTTAAGTGGCCTTACTACCCAAGAGCAGTGAAGCCAGAATGCTCCATGAAGAGTAGTCAATGTTGAGTACCCTGGTATACAACTCTGTACCATGAACTATTCTCAGACAACACTAAGACATGGTGGTACTTACAGGTGGTGGCGGTGGTGGTGTGTGTTTGGTTTTTGTTTTTTCCAGCGGATGAAGCAATACAAGGAAGGACTTGAACTAAAATAAAGGATTTTTTTCATCTACCACTGCATCTAAGCATTTAAACTTGCATAGTACGCTCAAAAAGAAGCTTTCTTGAACAGCGTTCCTGCACGTCTCCTAGAAACTTCAAACAGGAGATGGTTATAACAAGCATAAGCAAGATCTAGTAGTAGGTTCTCTGCTTTCCTTCCTAGTGTTTCGTTAACAACCACCACACCGCTGACTAGGGCTACACGGTTTTGGTGCCAATTATTAGCCATTTTTCTTTTGCTGCTGCTACATTTAAAAGACATTTGCATCAGTTGTTATTGACATAGGGAATACCTCAGTTTTTAAAAAATACTTTATCTAAACTCAACACCTGAAATTTGAATTAAAAAAAAATTCTTTCTTGGACTTCTCTTTGTTATTGCTGCAACAGTTATTTTCAGTTCCAGGTTTAAAGTAGTACTTTTTTTTTTAATCATATAAAGCTGCCATAAAAGTTTTTTGTTTGGTTTTTTTTTTGTTGTTTTTTTTTTCTTTTTTGTTTTTTTGTTTTTTTGTTTTTTTTTAAAGAGAAGCTTGATCTGAAATGTCTCTACTGCACTAGCTCTTTTCATTTGCTGAGGAGCTCTAGTGCAAACACATACTGCGTATTTATTTATAAAGGAATTCTAAATAGGGAATGTTATATAAAAAGCAGGAGAGAATGTTTCATAAGACCCTCACTGTGTAAACGCCTATTTAATGATGTACAGTTTCCCCCGCCGCAGTTTTATATCCATGCTTTCTACTATTTGCAACAAAATACCATTAAGATAGTTATATATACACATATTCCCCCCGTCCCCCTGCACTGTGCTTTTGGTTACTTTCCATATCAACTACTGGAGACACGCTCCACCCTCCCAGCAGATTATAATCGATCAAAACTGGAAGGTGTAAGTACCTTTTAAAAAAGGTACAGTTTCCCCCTCGTGGATGAATCCCATAATGCAACTTAGAAAAAAGTGCTCAAGTAAGTGAGACTGCCTAAATGTTACAGAATATTATACAGAGACCACTTCCAAGATGACATTTAGGAATCTGAAGTTAGAGCAAATATATACGAAGTTATATTCATTCCTTAACTATTTATCTATTGCAGCATTCATGAAAGTTCTCTCCTATGATTTTCAAAGCTTTAGTTTATTGGGTGATGAGACAGGAGACAGCAAGGCTTTGAGCTTGTTCTTTATAGCTTCTCCCCAATATAGCACTGTTTCATACCTCAGCTCTTTGTTAAAATCATGCCAAGACAACAAAATGTCACTCTCTACTAGCTAAAATGGACAAATGGCCTGTACTGATGTTCACTGTACTCTCTGGCACACCTGACTAATGAAAGCTGCAAATCTACTACACAAATGGAATTGTTAAACAGACTTGAACGAAGCAGTACAGATTCAAACAGTTTGCCTGGGGTAATTTTCTGCTCCATATAAAAATATATGGAAATCCCTAAGCTGCAGTAAGTGCTCATGAGTAAGGTTTAAAGTACTTATTCCAACAACACAGTTATGTTCAAGGCATTAGAAAGAAGGGGGCCGTCCACTGACAGTGATTCATGCAAAATAAACCTGAACTTTATTCAACCAAAAAAAAAAGGAAATAGAAAACATGGACAGTGCTTACTGTAAAAAATAAAGTTTCTGAAGGCTCTAACCACCAACGGGTTATGAAGGTACGTAAGCCTCCCACTAGGGCAGAGTACTGGAATGGCAGCATTAAATCAGCACTGATGCTACCCTGAAGTAGCTGCCAAATCTGTATAGTAGCAGAACACCCCAAAACAAAGCATAACTACATATACAACTTAAAAAATTTACTTCTGAATGGAAATTAACCTACAAGAACAATACAGCCTGATATACCTCTGTGTAAACGCTTAAAAGGGAACAACATTTTATAACCATTTACTGCATAATTTATCGCAGGCAGAATGTATCAAAAAAAAAGAAAATTGCAGCTTTCTGGAATCATAAGTCAAGCAGGTTTAAGAAAAGCCTTGATTTTATGTGCAATATTCAAATTTAAAAATTTAAAATCTCCCCCGTAACAATTTTGGTATACAAATGGGTTCTAAGGCTAGCCCTTTATCCCCACAGCATTTGCTTTGAGGTACTTTTTAAAAAACGAAGTTGCAAGAAAGAACATCAGAAATGACTCATTGCAATGAAATGCTAATCTGCCGTCAGTCTTATTTTGGGTGATTCCAAGTGCAATTTAGGAAGTAAAAAAGAAAATACTAAGGAAACACATCAAAATGCTGTAACCAACAAATGGCTCCTCTTCAATTACAAATATTTTTAGGGGAAAAAAAAAAAAAAAAAAGAGAACAGCTATTTGAAACCTCTATATTCTGGCAGCCCTACTACAGCATATCCATAGTCCATACTGCAAGTAGCTAATAAGGAAATTTTGTTAAAATGGTTTGTTCCCCTTTAACATACTTATCAGGCACACAAGCTTTCCTCAGAATAACATGCAGCTGAACTCCTCCTGTTTGCTGTAGAAAGTCCTAGCATTTCTTAAGTTTCAGGAAAGCAAGCTGGATCAACTGCACATACATTTTCAACTGACTACAACATTCTTTCGGAAAAACAGCACGGATTTCCTGAACTGAGAACTAAAAGAAAGTGTTTTGCTATCAGTCTGTGTGGCAGTCTCACTTTGACACATCTTGCATCATATTAAAGATAGTACTGGATATATATCTCCCCAGGACATGCAATTCGTCATGCAGGTGATGTCACCTCCTACTATTCCTAACAGCCAGTTTTGCCTCAAGGAAGTCTGCTTTATTTACTGGCACGCACAGCATTACCTTTGTCATTTCATTCTGATCCTTAAGAACATCTGTATAACACTGAATCTGTATAATGAAAATGAAAAGGTATGAAGTAAACTAATTGTGTGCGGGATTTCTACAGCTTGTCTGACTCATTTTCCAGTCACTCCAATTTAGTAGTTGAATTTGAAAAGAATACATCGCTTAAATAAAAATATGCCCCTTTTAAACTGGCAACTTCATCAACCTGAAAAAGGCTGAAGCACTTATCTAATGTATATTATGGTATTCTAGAAAGAAACTCACTTTCATGATTCTACCTTTTAAGACCCTGCATACATTACAACAGTGCATTAGTGATACAAGTTGTAAAATACTTTTCGGTTCCTTTGGATTTGCATATGATGGTTTTTGCATCAGTCACTGCAGGTAGATTGAGCAAGCTTTGTTTTTGTGTTTTAACATGCATTCAACTAGATATGGATCAGAATAAATTTATACTCCCTTTTTATCATTATAATTAGCTAAAAAATTGCAAGACAGTCCACAAAACAGGATTTGCTTTAAGACTAACTGCTGGAGTTCCAAGATGTAAGATATGCAGCACTGGAAAATCTTCAGTGATCAGGAATTAGTAGTGTTTAGCCAAGTGTTGAAAGCATTCAGAAGAAAAGTCCTGGTTGGAGGCATGAGGGCTTCAGCACCAACTTTTAAACCTCAATTTCTTGATTGCATATCTCCCATCTTCAAACCTACGTTAAGAGGGGGAAAAAAAGGTAAGAAATGTTCTCAATTATGTGAAATACTATTTGAGTGTGGCAGAACATTCTAATATCGCATGCACCACACATATATGCACACACAACAGAAGTATTATATAATGCTTAGCCCTTATCCAGTCAACCGTAATCTATAGGCTTCTAGGTTAAGAATTCACTACATTGAGTTTCTCCTGTCATGTCCATTCCAGCCTTCTGTCATGACTAGTAGTTTTGTCTTAAGTAGAAGGTGCAATATTAAAAAGGTACTTTATGCTAAATTTAATTATCAGCAGTCATGAGTTTAGTCACAGCAAAACTCTCGCTTTCTATACTCATGTAATATGACATTCTTGGATGAAATATTATATGTGAAACATTTCAGATCTGCGGACCGACATGTAGCATCACAGCAAAATGACAAATGGCTACTGCGTTACTAACTCAAAGGGAATACAGTCACCTGTAATAACACAACTCTGGACTCCTAACTGCTGAAACAGAAATCCAAAGAAAGTTAAAACAAAAGTTAACTTTGCCATAAACTAAATGGACTAGAAGTGAAAATTTCTAGTTCAGTTGGTTTGACAAGTCCTTATTTCAAATGAAGCTGTTCTCAATGTATGCCAAAAAACCTAAGAAGCAGAAGTGAGGATCCCAAAAACATTAGGCTTTGTGTCAGTTTGACACACATTACACCCCCAAAACCCATCCCACCTTATAGCAGATTTCAAAATTAAACTCCTTTTCTTGAAACCCACGATCTACATTTTGGTCCATACTAGAAACGATCTTTCCATGCTGACTGCAAGAAGTATGAACTGAGATGTAACTGAAACAGAGTGAATATATGAAATTAACTCAAGGTTGTGTATTTGTTTCAGCAGCTTGTGAGAAATATTCACCCTCAGCTATTACATAAGCAATAATTTTTGTGTATTCTTACTCCATTAGAATACTGTCGAAGTACCCCAGACTGCTTATCTTCTGAAAAATCTCCCCGAAAGAACCTGCAATGCTGTCATTTATAAGAAAGATTAACTGCTTTCAGTCTAAATCGGTAACTTACACTGACTGCCAGGATGATCACCACTGTGGGGGCACATAACTATAGGTTGGTGTTCCTGGAGCCCGATATGTGGGCATAGTAACTGGATGAGGGGCTACTGGAGTTGGGGAATGAGTTGTCAACAAAGTACCTAGGATGAAGAGAACATTTTTTTCAGTAAGCACAAATACTAGTACAGAAAAAAAAAAAAGGAAAAAAAGAGTTAATTTTAAAAACCATTACAGCTCGTTCATCTTCCAATTTAAAATTACTATTATCATTTTGCACTCCAGCCCCAATCTTCCTTCAAACATTTATGCAAGAGGATCATTTTTATGTTTAGTCCAATGCACACAGTTACTCATTACTCAAAAACAGCTCTAGCAGAAACCCTGCAACATAAGCATTATTCACTGCAAAACTTTCCCACAGCAGGCTTTACATGCCATAAGAATATTTTATGGTAGAGATAACTTGACTGATAAATCAGAATAAATTAGTTCTTGTTTGCATTATTCCAGATAGGTTTTTACAGACTAAGGGGCTTCAGAAACAAACAGGCTGAGACAGCAGGGTCTTAACAGTCTTACTCTACAGCACTTAGTAGAAACAGTAACAAACACCTGGGATAAGCTTGCCCACATATGAAACTCCAACGTTAGCTCAGCTTGTGACACATAGCTTCTCCAGTTCTGGTATTCCTCAAATTAAATAAGTTTGACAAGATAAAAACCAGAATCTGAAAACAAGCTCATGGCTCTCATTCTTTAGATTACCGAATTGAGCGTCCCTTGAGTAAATGTGGATATTTCTTCACGAGTTAACACCCACTGAGTAACATAGCATGACACCCCCCCACACCCCCCGTAAACGCTCACAGATGAGTCTAGATATT